CCCCAAAACCCCAAAACCCCAAAACCCCAAAACCCCGATATATTTCATCCACTTATTAAATAATAACAAGCTACTAAATATGTTCAAACCTTCAAAAATGTTCGAAAGCATTCCTAATAGTAAAACATCAACACTACAAGATCCGATCAGTGAGATTAGTGAGGCCATGCTTATTACCATAAAGGGGTGCATTCTCCGACTGTTGTTGCCCCACTTTGAAGGGCATTTTTCCATCCAGGATTTTAAAGGCTGAAAATTTCATTCAGAGATATCAAAATTTCCTTATGAATGGATCACCAATCCCCAAAACCCACAAGGGAGGCTATCAAAGAGAAATCCAGGTGCTCAGTGTAATATTTCAGCAAAAAGTTCTAATCCTAAAAACTCTCAATTCGAAGATGAAGAGAATCGAGTTCAACAATCCGATATAGCCTGTGAGAAATTGAGGATTGAACTCTTCGCGTTTAGTATTAGCAAGTTGATAGACCAGATAGCTTATTATTACGAATTCCTGTCCACATCCTGCATGGTAGTCTACCTATGTTATATTCAGAAATATTTCAAATGAAACCCTGAAAAGAAGTTTTCCAGTTTCAAGGAGGTTAAAAGGTAGGTGATATTTTAACACATTTAGACGAGGTGAGAGTCCTTGCTCTCCTCTTGCCTAGATGGCGTAAGTCGTAATCTCAATTTTTATAGACTCTTGTTCGTCCTATTCACCATAGCGTTTAAGTACACCGAAGACCTTGATGTAGAACATGAATATACCCTTGATGTTTGAAAAGAGCTAAGAATATATAGGAGACAGGAACAAGTTAATGCAAAGACAACGGAATTGATGGGGTGTCTTATCAATGACCTTTTTGTTAACAACAATAGTTTCAACATTTGGGAAAGAGAAATCTTCGAAGAAGCAGATGTAATTGGCCCTGAAGTGTATGACATCATTGATGACTACTTTTACTCTCAGAATTCCCGAGATTTGCGCAAAAATAAGCCAACTAAGAACGGTAAAAGCAGAACTCCTGCTGCCAAGAATTGAGCCTTACTCTTAGGAGGACATATTTTCAAGAATAACAAGGAAGCTGAGCACTTCTATGAAATGATTTCAAATGCAGATACAATGACAACAATAAGTACACTGAACTAATCTCCTCACAGTATAAGAGCTTTGCAAACCTTTTAATTACATAAGATTTCAAGCTGTATTTAGTTTTCAGTTTTTATTATTCAATTCGATGCCTTATAAAGGGGTTTTGGGGTTTTGGGGTTTTGGGG